GAAACAAGTCAAATTTCACTAATGTAGCTTCACCAAAAATACTCTGCAACTTTGTCTGTATTTTGCAGCAGTCATCCACATAAATTTCAGCCAACATTTTCTTCATAGAAAGTATTCGCTCCCTGACTTCCTTTAACATCTCACAAAGAGTATCATAGGATGTATTGGGGACTAACTGCCATGACAAGATTTGGCCAACATCATTGAGGACCAGGAAAAGAGATTTAAATTGTTTTATCCATTTTGAACTATGAGTGTCACGAGTTTGATAAATTCCTATATTTGTCACAGGCTTAAATGTGTGATCACAGCAGATCCAATCATCATTATTGTTAACATTGTGCATTCTTTGCCTAAAGTGAAGTTTGTATCTCCAAAAGTATTGCAGAAATGATGACAGCAAAAGCTTGTTTCCTGGTTCCAACACACAGCTTATTGACTTTGAAATTTAGGAATATCTCTGCTAGTGTCTCCTTGATTTGTAACTCTTTGAAGTTCAACAGAACACAAAATATTCTGATAGAAATTTTCTTTCCTAGTTTCAAGTAAAGCGTGCCTTACGGATGTGATTTTTTCCCCTTCGTTGATTAAGGATACAACTAATGTTAGGCACTCTGATGTCAAACCAGAGCGGTGTGATAGAACAAATGGACAGTGAGATGGAGAAGGAAGTTGCTCGAAAATCTGCTCGTCATGACTTATGAACCGATGACCAGAGTGGCGCACATAAACTCTACTAATCTGCAGAACAATTCTATTGATTGCATGGATAATTTGCGGCATGGCATTCAATGTTTGTCCTTTTTGCCACTTTTTCTATTCAAGATTAATTTGCAATATTCAGCCAAACAAGGTTGAAATATGTGGACCAAAGTGGGAAACTGTGAAAGTGGATCCCAAATAATTATGTCAGGGATGTAACCGGAAATTACTCCTTGAGGTTGAATGTCTCCACTGAGGGGAATACAAACTGGAGACCACGGCACAATGTCAAATTTTTCTGTCATCTCTTGAATGTACAGTAACCACTTCATCGGAATATCAAAGCCAGAAACGCCATGATCACAAAACATCGTAACACATACAAGGAAAACAAGCAAAATCTTTTGGCACGCCATTTTTCCAGGTTGATGACAGGCAGAAATAGGGCACAAATAAACAAAAAGGCTGACAGAGAAAATTTATACGTAATACGTTATGCAGCTGTCAATTCACAAATGTGCAAAGGGTAAATTAATTAAAAATCGTTGTTGTCTGTGTTTCCAGTGGAAGAGCTCCTGAAATTCTCTCCCTAGGAAATTTTTTGAAGTTGGAGTCTCTGAAATGGCATTTCCCGCTTTTTAGTAAATAGTTTTAGAGAAAAGGTAATGTCTAAATTTACTGTAAAGTAATATCCGCCAAGACTTTCATGAAATTCAAGCTTATTGATTCCCATGTAGTATCAACATAGCATCAAATTTTTCCATATGATTACATTTTAATTTTATTATATATTTGCACATTGATACCGGATACAACAATTTCAAGCTTCATTAACCGCTCAGCCAAAACAAGGTTTTAAAAAGTTTTAATTAATGAGTTTATCAATGGAAACATGTTTGTTATGAAAACGTTTTCTGGGAGGGGCCAAAACAATTAGTTTCGCGGTCAAAACAGTAATGTTTTGCCTTTGTAACTAAAAGGTTGTAGTTTTATTTTGGAGTTTAAAATGAACAAACATGATATAGATATCTTATTATTCGAAAATGGATTTACAGGGTCTTGAAGGAGGGTCGTATTCCCATTTCCCAGCCAAAAATTTTGACTAAATCCCATTGTCCCAGAGCACAAATCCCATCATCTCAGTGGCTGTCCTGCTCAAATCTTAATCCCATTCCCATTTTCTATTGTTTGGTTGCTGATGAATCCCAGTCCCAGTGCATGAAAAAAGCAAATTTCCCACCCAAAAAAAAGCAAATCCCAGTTCCCTCGATTTAGGACCCTCGATTTACAATTAAATTCCCTAAAATTCGCTATATAAAATATGAAAGGTATGAAAATATCTAAAATATAGCATGATTTAACAGTTATACTATAGTATTTTATGCACTTGTCAATCAAAATTTATGTAAGAAAAACAAGGTAGCCAAAAATATAAAAGAATCGCATTATAGTTTACAAATTAATATCTGATAAAACTAAAATAACCCAAATAAAGCATCATGAAAACATCTTCAGACTATTAAAGCATTAGAGTTGACGATTTGTTGACTCCAAAGTCCCCGCGGCGAAGAAAAAACAATGCATAGTGAAAGATCCATTTTCGAATAATAAGATATCTATCATGTTTGTTAATTTTAAACTCCAAAATAAAGCTACAAACATTTAGTTACAAAGGCAAAGTTACTGTTTTGACCGCGAAACTAATTGTTTTGCATGGCCCCTCCCTGAAAACGTTTGAGTGTCAAAACAAACATGTTTCCGTTGACAAACTCACCAATTTTAAAACTTTTTAAAACCTTGTTTCGGCTGCACGGTTCAGTAATGGAAGCTTGCAAATGGTTGTCATTGGCTTCTCAATTTCCCGCCCAATATTCCAAATATGGAAACCTATTGGCAGTTTCCCAACCAACAATAAGAAATTCACATATTCACATGGCACATGAAATAGTGCCGGGCGGTCTGGTCAGACTACATGCTTTAATAAAAGTTCGAAGGAAACTTTGGCATTTTGGCAACTTGACAGGTACTGTAGTACATGTATGTGCTTTTATGTTGAAGTAAATATCGTCATTGTACCCTGTTCTTTTTATCGTACTTTTTTGTAAATATGGATTTTGCATGCAAAGCATGACGTGTGTATATCAAAAGTCAGATTGCAAATATGAATTCTATCACGATCTGTGCAAATCTTTTTCCAGAATGTATCAGCAAAAAGGAAGAAGGAACAATTTTGCAAAAGTACCTGTATCAAAAGTAAAATCTATCATAAAAGAAGCTCGGGAAATACATTTCCCGTGGGATGCTATACCTGAACCAACGCAATCGTGGTTACAAGCCATGGCGGGGGCAATAAACACTCAACCGGAGTTCATTTTACTTGGTGCGCTTACGGTCACGTCTTGTTTAATGGGCCCAGAATGCAAAGTCGAAATTCGTCCACGACACCTTGAGCCTTGCAATATATTTACGGCCTGCCTGTGTGAGCCTGGTACGGGAAAAACACAAGCCTACAAAGTTGCCGTTGAAACCCCACTTCAATATATTCTGTCGAAGATTTTAGTCCACTACTATACGTCCAAGGGTCTCTTTGAGTATTTAAAAACAAGAGAAATGTATGGTATCCAATTCGATCTATACAAGCGCTTGTAATCTTTTACATGTAAACCAACTTGCACAACAAAGACAATGTTTTTCACCATTCTAATTGTCTTCCAAGCGACAATCTTGTAAACACGGATCTGCTTGTATAAAGAGAGTTAGTGGAAAATTAGCCAACCAAAATCGTGTCTTGTATTATAGTGAGCTACATACAGCAAAGCTCTTTCCAAAACGCATTTCCAGAGTTTCTTTTGAATATTCTTTGAATTTTCGAATCAAAGTACTGAAGCAGAACATGGTTGTGGAGGGTTAGTTGTTTGATTCTAACAACAGTAAAGCAAGCTTTTAGAATTTAAGGGAAAATATTAAACCAGCATTTCAGAATGATTTCAAGTACTTTGGTACTATAATTAGGAACATCAATTGATAAATAAGCGCATTGCAAGTTCTGGCCCAATGTTCCAAATGCAATGGTAATGGGATAAGGAACATTCAAAACAAACTTTATAGCTTTAGAAATGCTTTTTGAAAAAAAAGCTTGAACTCAATCCTAAATACAAAACTAAAAATAGGTTAAACAGTATGTCGAGTTTTTATATACAACCTCGGCGCGGCTGTGGTTATTGCTCCGCAATTATACTAAAGCACGGTGACTATAATTTTGTTGTTGGGTATTGTAGGACGAGCGTTAATATGTCATACCGAAACGACAAGCTTCTATGAAAGCCTCATGAGGCGCCAGTGTGAGGGAAATGGTGAGAGGCAGATGTTTTGCCGTTTCCATGATGGGAACTCCTTGTTTATACGAACCTCGCACGGATGAGCAACGAAGCAAACTGGCAGTAACACGCAGCTAGTCGCTTCCACAAGATGAAAGGGAGGAGCTAGAAAGCGCATGTTTGGCCCTTGGAGGTTTCTGTCAACAACAACCCTATGTAAACCTACATCAAACGCTTGGACTAAACGATGCTTGGACTAAACGACAATGGGTTCCTGGACAGGATAAGTACATGTATTGTGGGCTCCAATATATTAAAAGAGACCGACGTAGAATTGTGGAATGAAATCTTGGATTTGTATAATATCGCCGAGTTTAATGGTAAAATATTTCTGCATTCGAAGATTATTGTACATGCAAGATTTTAGGTTAAGTTACTGCAATAACACGGAGTTTTGTTTATATTGATGTTGTTTGCTTTAATAGTTAACTTTGCAATGAGATGGGTATGTGCAGTTGAATGGTTATAATTTACAAGTTACTGCAATTTCCAGTACTGCAATTCCCGGTGCATACTAGATACAGTCAGGGTCTTAGCTAGAAGGCCGTGTTGGCCGTGTTTGCACGGCTAAAAATGGAAAAACACGGCAAAATAAAACGAACACGGCTTGGTTATTTAATATAAAGCCGTGTTGCTGTCGGTTTAAAACATGAAATTAAAGAGAAAAATTAGCGATAATATGTATTTAAATATACTATTATTAATATGCCTAAATCCACTAATATTTATTTCTAAATACTTTACAAAAAAGATACTGAATTTACCCTCGTCAATTTATAAAATCTGTGGTTTTGATGGATGTTTACAAAATATAAATATGGCGTCCTCATGTGAGGCTACTTCATGTAAACTTTAGTGTTTATCAATTTAAAGTCTCAGATGGCCACATGGCAGGAAAACGCGGGAAGAATTTATAGCAATATGGCGTCACAGAAACGAGACATAAGAGCTTTTTTCACTTCTGCCCAAAGGTATTTTATTTATATCTTGTACTGACGTTCTACTCAAACACTGAAATAAGTTTTCTTGAATATTTAATAAATTATTATCTGACACCATTTGCATTTACAATCATTTACATAACAAAACATCAATAAATTTGCATGTTTGCATAATTGCATGTGATGTTGAATGCACTCTTGATTCTACAATCTACAGTATATCATTTTGGATAATTAACAGGCCCGAAGCACTGGAAGCAGTGGAAGGAGTATCAAGAAATTCGGATAATTCTGTCGATGAATTAAACGATCATCTAGATGAAGATCATGAAGTTGCAGTGAACTTGGAAATGGACTCTGATATGGTAATGATAGTATTCTTTAAAACTTTCGTTTTCAACTTTTCATAGATAAGCCCATCGAGAACTAGGAAAGGCTACCTCGTGAATTTTCTTTCTAATTGCCATTGTCCTAATTTCCTACTGTCTGCTGAAATAACAAAATTTCAAAATTAATATTTTCATTTTACGAGTGCGTCAGCGACGAGGAAGAAGGTCAACCACTGCTTAAAAGAATGAATAGTTTACCTCCCAGAAAGCAAAGAAAAAAGGCAAGAGCACCTCCCGTATTTCCTAAAAAATGGCTTTCCAATCCTAAATATAAAGAATGGCTACGTTATGATGTGCAACATAACACAATGTGGTGTGATTTTTGTCGAAGTAACAAGATATGTGGAGTGTGGGCTGAGCAAGGAACACAAAACTTCAGGTGATTATATTTCCATCTGGCAAAAAACGTACGAATCCAACATTTTTTTTAAAATTTTAGTTACTTTCTCAACAAATTACAGGAAAAAAACTCTTCTTGTCCACATGGCTAGCAATGATCATGCAAGATTTGCATTGGCCCGTAATCCAGCGCAATCCACAGTGGTGAAAACCAGGGAAAAAATGAAAAAACAGGAAGCGCGTTCTTATAAATCAGCTTTAAGAACAGTCTACTGGATTTCTAGTGAGGAAATTCCTAACTGCAAATATCCAAGCCTTCTTCAGTTCCAACGTAAGCAGGGTGTCAAGGACATCATTCAAATGAATCGAGGAAAGAATTGTAAAAAGGAAAGTCCAGAATCCTTTCACGAGCTCCTCCACTCATTAAGTGAAGTATGTAATAGTTTTTTTCAGTTAGTAGTTATATTGTTAATTAATGTTGTGGAGTCAAATTATATATTGTATGGAATTACAGGTTTTCCAGAGAAAAATGCTCAACCACCTTAATTCTTCGCCCTTCATTGGCCTTGGTATCGATGAGTCCACAGATAGGTCACAGGAAAAGCATATAGCTGCTGTAGTTAGATATGTCGACTCCAACGAAACGAAGATCAAGACCTCATTTCTTAAATTATCAGTTATTACAAGCGGCACTGCTCCAGCAATTGTTGAAGCTGTCAAGAAAATCCTAGGAGATTTTAGCATTCCTGTGAACAAGGTACATTACATTTACATAATTGAAATGAGTACTCAGGAAATATTTGACCAGAGATTAGTGATCTCTTATTAATAATATTTTAAAAAGATTATGAAGTACAGTTGTGAATTTATACAACATTAATACATTCTATAGCTCACAGGTTTAGGTATAGATGGAGCATCTGTGATGGCAAGTGATATGAATGGTGTATTGGGACTTCTGCAGCGAGAGAACCCATTTCTAATTGGTATTCACTGCATTAACCACAGACTTCACCTTGCTGTTTCCAAGGCAGCAAAAGATATAAAGAATGTGAATACACTATCCACTATACTCAGCACTATTTACCAGCATGTGAACAACTCACCTAACAGGCTTCAAAAGTTTAAAAATTTGGCTGATGTGCTAGGTGCGATTAATCATGACAATGCACCTGAAGAAGGAAACGAGAACATTGCACCATCCTTAAAGTATCTAAAGTTCAAGCGAGTAAGAATTAATATAGATGAATATTATGAATTAATATAGCAGATCCTGGAGCATTGAAGAGGGAAACTGGATGATTAACTTGTTTTCTTTTTAGATTTTTGATATAAGGTGGTTGTCTGTTGGGGAAGCAGTAAAGGCAGTGATTCATAATTACCAACCCCTGCTTATTCTGCTTGAAGAAGAAGCTGCTAACGATGAACCTACTTCGATGGGACTTTTGGAAAAGCTATCCTCGTATAAATATGTAGCTCTACTCCATCTCTTGGGTGACGTCGTGGGAGCTACAAATCACCTCTGCAGAATTTTTCAGTATCGAGATATTTCATTTTCTACATTGCAAAGTCAGGTACTCTAACTAAAATTTATAAAGTTGTTACTATAATTCATAAGAGACTAACTAAGATGAATAAATATCAATTTAATTACTTTAGCTACCAATATTTGTTAAGATATGAAGAATCAACCTGGAAAGTATCTTCAGATGTTTCTTGAGTGTGTGGAAGAAGGATCTGACGAGATAATTTTTGAAGGAGTTCACCTAAAAACTAATCCTCATCGAAACGAAAGAATGAATCAGTTGGAAGAGTTTGAGACAGACAGGCAAGCATTCATTGATGCCCTGGTAAACAACATCACATCAAGGTTCCCCAATGTTCAACTACTTTCTGCTTTTCAGGTAGTTAATATCAATCATTGTAAAAAAAATAGTTTTTTAGTTCAGTATATTTTTAGTATACATATATATGTAGTATAAGGTGGACAAAAAGCCTTAGCAAGGTTAACAGCCCAAATGTAAATTGAAAAACGAAGTCAAATAGAAAAACAGTTAATCAGCTTTTATTTATTATCCAGCATCCCGTAGTATCTAGTGTCTCATTATTTTATAGATATTTGATCCTTCTGCTTACCCAGAAAACCTTCAGCGACTCGCAGGATGGGGTTATGACCATCTCAAAAACCTGCTCGATTTCTATGGCGAACCTAAGCGTTTGGAGAATCAAGTCATCCAGGCTTTGGTGAAAGCAGAAGCTGCGGAAGAAGAGTTCCTGTTTTTCAAACGGCTTGTTTACCAAAACAGGGGAGAAGATCGAAACGAAAATGAGCAGCTGAAGTTCTGTTTTTACAAACCGCAAGAATTATTTACTAAGCTATTTGGTGGTGGCAATGTAGACAACAAAATGATCTATCCACGTACGTTTATTCCATTAGCATCATATTAAATTCCTAAATCCTAGAAACAGTTTACTAATACTACCAGTTGCCATATAATGTGAATACAATGTTTGCTCTTCCCTTCTCTAGAAATATACAAGCTTATGGTCTTGACCTTGACAACGATGCCTTCAAATGCAGAGGCTGAACGTGTATTTAGCGTTCAGAATAGAGTCAAAACCAAGCTGAGAACAAGGCTTGGGATAAATATACTGGACGAGCTTGTGAGAGTGTCATATTCTAAGACATCAGGAGAGTCCCTTGATTTAGATACTGCTTTAGCTATATTTAACGAGAAGCCACACAGGTGGTACTAGATACCAAAACTATATTTACTGTATTAGTGTATGTTGTATAAATTGACCATTTGCGTAATAGACTAAATTTGATCTCAACAAAAATTTCATTACAGCTTGAAAGAGCATCACAAAATTAGTAATATTCCAAAGTTTTGTTGCAAAATGTTGTAAAATGTGGAAAATATAGCCTTGCGAAATTTGCAATTTTCAGTCATTTTAGATTACAAACCGGAAATTGACAGCCTCGAAGGGTTTGGGGCTGTCAATTTCCCGTTTGTAATCTAAAATGACTGAAAATTGCAAATTTCGCAAGGCTATATTTTCCGAATTTTACAACATTTTGCAACGAAACTTTGGAATATTACTAATTTTGCGATGCTCCTTCAAGCTGTGATGAAATATTTGTCTAGACTTGTTTAGTTCAAAATTTAGTCTATTACACAAATGGTCAATTGAATAAAAGTTCTGTTTTACATGTGTTGTTGCCTTGTTGGTCACAGAAGGTATTAGCACATTTAGCAAGTTATGTGATAAAACATTAAAAGTCTTTGGCTGAAACTTTGGAATGCATAAAACTTTCACTAGTGCTATTCTGGGTAAGCATGTGATTTATCACCAAATGCACCATTGATAAGATCTTGTTTCACTCACTACTCTCAGTACTCTGGTTAGCGAGCGAAACATGATTGATATACCTGGTTGCAGTGAACGAACAAACATTAACAAGGTCTTTTAAAAACCTGAACACTTTCATAAAATGTGCTCTTAGAATACTGGAAACGTCATTTCAGAGATGCAAGTCTTTAAAAATTTCCTGGGGGGGGGGGTGTTCCCGGAGCCCCCAGAATTATTGTGCCTACGGCACTCGATGAGTACACTCCCAAAAAATTTTAAAACACTCCCAAAATTGGAAATCCTAGCTAAAACCCTGCTGTGTTGTAGTCCGCGGGTTCGAATCCGAGTTTGTGACGGTTTTTTGTTCGCCTTAACAAAACATGCTTAACTTTTTTTTTCTGACTAGTTTTAATTTTTTCAGGGGTTAGGGTTAGAGGTTAGGGTTAGGATTGGGGTTAGGGTTATTTTTGTTTTAATTTGACTTTAACGATAAATACAGGTCGTATGGAGACTAAGAACGAGAGTGCCGTAAATATAGCCTGGCGAAGTCTGTTTACGGGCCCGTAGATATAGCCACTTCGAATATTATAAGACACCAAATATTTTTTATCACAAATAAAACTATGCTATCCCATGAAGCTTTGCGCTCTGAAACGTAAACTAGTCACCAGGGCGTCCAGTTGAAGCGCGAACTATTGGCTGTATCTTATATTCTTATAGGGATAAAATTCCAATAGGAATGCTTGCATTGTAGGGACCATCAGGAATTATAGAAATCCTAGCTAGCTAAATACATTGATACTAAATACATAACCACTGAGTATTTTAGCAAAATACAAAACAAGTGTAACTCCAACGATCAATAACAATATATATCAATGTAGGTTGATCAATATCGATCTTTGGAGTTACACTTGTTTTGTATTTTGCTATAAAAAACAGAGTAAAAACATATAATAGCAGCAATAGGATTCTATATAACATCCTATACGAATTCCTATAGGTAATTCCAAAATTAATTTATTTATTAGAAAATTT